TTTATGTCCCTTTAAATTGGCAAGTATTATAGGAAATTTGCCGTTCCCCAGCAGGTTACTATATTCTGCCATTACGGAGGAGGGTTCAAACTTCAAACTAGCTGGAGATTTTTTCCCCACAATTATAAGATTATTGCCCAAGACCCACTGGGGTTAAAATCTGTAACTGTGTGTTAATGTGCAGATTGCCTCCAAATAAACATGTTTAGAGGTATGTTGCAAGAATGCTAGTACTTACCTATGGAGAACTCAAAAGTACATCCAAATAGCACAGCAACTGTGTATTGTAGAATAGGTTTATTTTACCCGAAACCAGAATGGTAGGTGTGATGCTTGTCACCATCAGCACTGAATCAGATAATGCTATTTACAACTTCTTAAAAAAAAAGTCACACATGCTGTCTTATGAACTGACTAGGTTCATTTGTTATGGTTTTGTTGTTTAAGATAAAACGCATTACAACATGTGTATTGCACCAATGTGTGTCTACGCCTTTAGATTTAAATAAGTTACATTATTACAGTGCAAAATAGGTCTATTTGCACACTCCAAGATATTTAAAAAAAAGCTGTAGTTATGGAATTGAAGGTTTAACAGTTTCTTAAACATTCAGCAACAGTACCATTTGTCAATGAATCTGTATAAATAGAATTGCATATTGTACAGAGCTGTTTAAAGTGTAATGTTAAGATACAATAGATTATTGGCTACTTACAACTGAAAAGCATGCATTACAGTCCGATATTGTACATTTTATGAACTATGACATTTTACACAACGAAATATGGAGAAAAAAAAGATAAAACTTGGCCAATCACCACTCTTTAATTTCTTGCTTAACAGTTTAGGGAGGCTTGTCTTCATGCAATCCCAAAACTTCTCTGCAGAGGTCTGTTAAAAACTATATTGCACATTGGTAGAGATCTGTATATAAACCGAAGCTTTAACAGCACCACACACTTCCTTCACGGAACACGAGTTTTCAGTTCTATTTTTTTTCTCCCTCCCTAGGGAAAGATTTTTTTTCCATTTACAAGACTCATGCAGATGTTTTCAGTAGATGCGCTGCTAAAGACGCATGCAAGAAAATTAATCTTACAATTCTGCAAGATTTGTTTAGGACTAAACGATTACTCCAGTGGTGCTGTAAAGAAAAGAGAAAAGGGGAGAAAGAGAGAAAAGGAAAACATTAGTGAAAAGATGGATAAAGAGGGCTTAATAAAAGCACTCAAAGGACTTTTTAAAAAAGTCTTCAGTAGAGATAGAAGATGATTTTAACAGTTTGATCACTGGTCTCCCACTGAAAAATGGGAGATATGGGTTAATTGAAAAAGCGTTAAGAACATTAAAAGCATAAGAATTAAAAGCTAGAAGAACATCTAGTTAGCCATTCTCCACCCACTATCAAACTGGGAACTTGTTAGAGGACTTGATTACTGGAATCTAGCCAACTACCAGATCTCTTGATGTTGTGCGAGGGAGGGAGGGAGACACTCAGCACAAGTTCTTCCATTTTCTTGAAAGGCACTGTGGCAGAATGTTCCCTTTTAGTGCAAGACTTCCCCTCTAAAACCTTTTGTGGGTGGGGGGGAAGAGAAAAGGCTGTTGTCAAAGCTCTGGGAAATGGCCAAAACTAGTTCCTCCATGTTCACCATTTCATTTCTGTAACAGTTTATCTGTGTGCATGTAGAACCAAAGATTAGACCCCTTGTACAGAACTTTCATAGATGACCATGTGCCCACCACAGCTTAAGGGGACCCAAGCAAACCTGTGTGAATCGACCCTAGGCCGTCTGGGGCTACCACATGCCTTGGACCATTTTATTCAAAATTCATAGCATGTCTGAGACCCTGTCACTCAGGAGGATCAGTAAAATTTATCTTGTTCTATTTTCCAGTACTTGATAACTTGAGTGGTAAAAATTGGTTGGGTTAATCCCTTGTTTCCTTTTTGAATACTGTGCCTAGCAAACAGATGTTTCCCTGTCATTTCAGCCAATTTCCCTTTCAAATTTCTCAGGCAATAATGTTATTCAAACAGTGTTTGCTTATCAGTGCTCCTCCCATCTTCCTCTTAAGCACTAGTAATCCTGGCTGCATTTTGTGTGGAACTTCAGGCTGTGACTTCTTTAGGATATTCCAGTAAACTTGCAATTAGCAGCAGCAGCAAAAACTGGCATAATAAGTAGTAAAGATATTCTACTAGCTTGTCCCTTCCCCACCATCAAAATGCATAATTTGTCCTTAAGAGATGACAGCCCATTGAGTGCCAACCAACCAGTACCATCCATTAAGGTTTTTCCCTGGAATGCTTTTTCCACCAGGACCATGCAGGCTATTTGTGGAAGCTCACAGTATCAGAAGAAAGGTTTTTGACAAGATTCAGTCCACAGTCCCTACAGTTTAAAAACTCCTGTTCTGTAGTCAATTTTCAACTTAGTAGAATTTCTTACTCTCCCCATGCGCCAGAGTTTTGTGTTAGAAAGGATGCAAATCTTTTTTACTGACCACGTTAATTTTTTTAATACAATGAGCAGAGATTAGGGAAACAATGGTTAAGAAGTGCAAATTGTAAAACGAGACAGGTGCAAAGACAGACAGTTTGCGTTGTTTTATGGCTCACCCATCCTGAAATCCAGCTTTTTTTCTGTTTTGTTCATCTAAGACTTTTATCGGCTGTGTCCTTGGAAGACACCAGACTGCTGCTGTACTGCATTTTATCACCACCAAGTTAGAAGCCTTTCCCTTCCCACATTAATGGAGAAATTTAAGTGAAAGCACAACTCAAAAAACAGAATAATCATGAAAGGAACTTGACATAAGGTTTTTTGTTTTGCTAATGCTTCTGACTAAAGACAGTTGTATTATGTAAACAGATGGGGAGAATGTAAACACTAATTGGCAAACTTAGCTCAGTCCTTTTAACAGCTGGCCATGCTAAGGATGATGGACACTGTAGTCCAACTCATCTGGAGCGCACCAGTTTGGGAAGGCTAATCTAGAATGTTGGAGAGGTTCACCATCAAGAAAAAATGGACTTGCAATAAATAAACGATGCTCAGCTGAATTTATGGAGCTGTCTTGGGGTGAATCAAACCATTGGCTGATTTATCCCATGCGGTCATCTACTATAATCGATGGGCACGTTCTAAGATTTTAGTCAAGCACATTCTCTAGCTTTGTTATGCGAGAGAATGTTTGAGTTATTGGAGGTTTGAACCTGGGATCATCTTTCTGCAGAACAGTAATTTTCCCTTTCCCATCACCTTGATGTTTGGGATTCAAATCTGCCTGCGAGGATGAATAGCTTCTCAATCGCTTTCCTGACAATGCCAGATCTATGGAGCCTCATTGTGGTTATTTGCTGAAAAATCACTCTGCATGTTCACTCACTCACTCACTCACTCACTCACTCACTCACTCACTCACTCTTCTTACATGTTAGGCCATATCCATTACATCTTCACCAACTGCTTTTTGTTTCTATGGGCATCTTGGTGGTCAGAATCCTTGTGCTTCCATAGCACGACTATTCCTAGCACTACCATTGTGTACCTATACCATGTTTTTTGTAACATTAAAAATGGGCGAAACTGTGAGACCACATACAAAGGGGTTAGAAGTGGAAGGTGAGGTCGTCTACACCCGGCATAACATTCATAAATGAGGTGGATCATTCATGAAATTTTATGTGGCCCCTCTCCCAAGTGAGGAGTTCCATCAGCCTGCAGAATATGCATGAACTGCCATCTGCATCTGGTACCAGTAAATGCAAATATAATTTACCAAGCTAGTTTAACAGAGTACAATGTTTGCTGCTCCGATTTGGTCCCATGAATGCAAATGTTGAAGAAAGCCGCTTTGGGGCAGGAATTACACTTGATAGATACATGAAGTTGCTTTAGGCCAAGGTATCATACTTTCTGCCAGTGGAAGTGTCTGCCTGTCTTTAGCAGCAGACATCAGGCAGAGATTTCTACTAGTCCTAAACCTGCCCCTGCTCTGCGGCTTAGCTAAGGACCCTCCTGTGTAACCATGCATCAACCTTACCTAACTTGCTGTCCTCTAAATATTTTGGACTTCAACTCCCATCAGCCCCAGCTATCATGTTCAATGGTCAGAAGCACTGGAAGCTGTAAGTCTAAAAAATCTGGATGTCACCAGGTAGTTCATGTACAGGTGTCTTTTAATCTGGAGAGAATTTTCAGAGCCAAGATTACGGTCTCACCTAGTTAGAAATGGAATGCTGAACACTTACACATTTTAAAAAGTGAGCCATCTATCATCACAAGCACTCCCTATTTGTTGCACACACATGCCAACTTAACAGACATGAGACTTTTCTTTCTTTATCCCAAAATATGCTTGCTGTTTGCACCCTCCAGCCAACTTGCCCTTTGTCCCTTAGTTAGAATGGTCTCCTAGACCAGCATTGCCACCTTCTTCCTTCCTTCAAAATCCTGTTTTCGTCCCCCTACCCCATTTTAAGAGTCTGGTGTATGCATCTGAACTAAATGCATATTACTTCTGGTTCCACTTCTATTCTTCCCCTGTCAGCATTTTAGATAAACCCTTAGCGGGGAGGGAGCGGTTATCTTCCAAAAATCTATACACATTAGCAGTGCTAAATAATGCTGAGTATCTTGCGGCTGTTTCCTTTTGCAGGAAGCACTGCATGTGTTAAGATACTTGGGCTGCGTGTCCCAATGCCTCTGTCAAACTGGAGATGCGATGGAGAGGCGCTCAAAAAGCTGCCACTGCATTAAGTCCTTCCAGAGGTGCTAATGGACAGCAATGTTAGATAAAAGCTGTGATTTCCCAGCCTCTCAGGATGCTGCTTCTATTAGTTGAAGTTATAAAGATTTCTAGCTGATAGAAAGTTAGGAAGGAATGTACTTCTGCTTCAAATCTTGTGGGCCTTATGCTACCTTACACAGAATGTGAAGAGTGGTGATAACAATGTAGCACAGCAGAATATCTGACAAAACGCAGCATGGAATGAAGGAAAAATTAGCATTTATTTTTGACATGTATACAGCATAGGCTATCTTTTTTTTTTTCTTTTCTTTTTTTACACAGCACATCACCACTGAAATGGTGGAATGGAAGAGAGATACTCACTTCAGTCGATGAATGTTGGAAGGCATTGGAAAGAAACACCACTCAGTTAGGACTGGTTAATGAACTTACATGTTGGTACAGGACTCAATTTGGAAGGGAAAAACACGACATCATGCGTTAACATTTATCGCAATAGAATGATGGTGGTTAGTGCCAAGTTAAAAATAAAAATAATTCTATACAATATGTTCATTTGGTCATGTGGTATTTACAGATTTTACAAAAACACACATACACACACACAAATTTTGTTACTTTTCCACTTGAGATAGGATGTGGCCTGCAGATTATGTCCCAAGATGTGGCACTGAAAGTTAAAGATCTAACAAAAAATAAAAATAACACCAGCAAGAACTCAAGCTGTGCAAAATAAGAATTGTTTGTTTCTAGATTCCATTATTAATGCCTCCATTTTATAAAAAAAGGAACAGAAATAATCTGACAAATACTGCTAATTATAATGGACTCAACAGGCTCCTAGGGTATAAAATGAAATGAAAAACAATTTTCTCAATTAAAAAAATATTCTGCTCCTTGCTTGAAGTCTATCCAGGTAAGCCTTCTCCCTCTACCTGCTCTTCCCCTACCCTCCCAAAGCGGGCAATGCTGGTGAAACAATGCTGTTACAATAAAAATACATAAGATATTTAAATAAATATTTTTTATTTTTGTTGTTTTTTTTTAAAAATCTATGTGTTGGGGAGAATGGGGGGAAAGAAACATACTAGCCGATTAACCCTGGAATGGTATTTTCTGCACCAGCCAGAACAGGCATACCTCTCATAGACAGGTGTAAACAAGTTTTAGTCAAAATCTAAAAAATATTGGAAAACGCAAAAAAAAGTGTGTGGGAGGGAGAAGGAAAAATCCTGAGGTAGCAGTTTTATCTGCCCAGTGCAGAAAAAAAAACCCAGCTAAATGACAAATGAAGATTAGATGACCATGCAGAAGACACAAGTTGCATGCTTTTAGTTTAAGAAAAACACACACAAGAACATTCATTCCCTAAAATCTGCTACCATTACAGTTTGCTCAATATAGTGTCCACTGGCACTCCCCCCCACAAAACACCTTTTTTGTTGTTTTTACAAGGATGAGTTGACTATTAAACAGAACACTGTACATGCTTCTCTACAAAAAATATTTGCATAAAATAGTGTTAATTTCTCTGTACATGTCAATGGACACCCTAGTTGTGTATAAAACAGGGGATGTGAGGGAATGCTACACTCCCACTGGAGTCGGGGGGAAAAAAACCCAAAAAGTATAGAATATGGAACCTCAGTCACTGGAAAATATGTTCATGTGAAAATTCAGCAGAATAAGACAGTTGCTTTAAACAATAAAAAACTGATTAAGTTAAACATCATTCTGTCAAACTATTATCACTTCAGGTCAAGACAAGAACATGTCACTCAAGTTAGTGTCTGTGCTATACAGCCAGATAACCAAGGGCAAGGTAATGAGCACAAATGGCCACGAAATCCCTTCGGTGCATGCGGACAGAGAACGTGGTTTGCTGGTGGCTGGCACACTATCTTTACCAGGCTCTAGGTAGTTACGCGCCACAAATTTAAGTGTCTCGTCCAGCAGGATGACAGGAAGCGAGATTTTCAACACCATCAGCCACTGCGTCACGTTCAGAGGGGTGATTTGGAAGATGAGCTGGGGAAAAGACAGAGAGGGTCATTTGATGGCGCTCTCAGGTGAGGGAGGGCTGGGCGGGCGAAAGAGCTTTTCCTCTTGTGGCTCAAGTCCTGTTCTGGGACGCGAGCTACGTGAACTTACTGGTAGTGGTTCCACATAAAGGATGAGGAAGTGAAGAGACATGGATAAGCAGATGGAACCCAGCAGCCAGACGTTCTCCCATGGAGGCATCCTGAGCAAGGACTGGTTCTCGGACAGGCTGCAGAGAAAGCATGAATGCACAGCCTGCTATTATTCTCTTCCTCGACAGGTAGCCAATTCAAGGCATTTTAAGACTAGCTTCATAGAACTGTTTATACGGCTCTTTCAGAGTTGTAAAGATTGCAGAGATACAACGTGCAAAATGTTTTCACAGCAGCCCTACAAAACCAAACAGTTTTCGGTGCATGGCCTATCAAGAACTTCTCCTTCATAGCTGTATTTAAACTCCCATTTTGCTTTTATTAAAGCATGTCTGAATTCCATAAAAATCACCTCAAAATTCACAACTCTGGAAATCGAGGCACGTTTCTTTTTTAGCACTAGATAGTGAACTCCATATGGGTCGCAGGAGCTGTTAAACCGATAACACAAAATCTTCAAGCAAAGCTATTCAGGTGTCAGCACTATCCTTACCCTCTCAGGATGAAGCCAAGTCTGCTGTCCTTTGCCGTGACACATTCCCAAAGCCCCTGAGCAAGGGGCCTGTTCACTCCATTTTCCTGAAATGGGGAGGGGGCTGCCCACAGAAGTGCGGGAGGGACAGCCATGTAAATATGCCCTTTCATCTACTCCCCCAGCTTCAAACTGGACGGTAATGCTGTTGATTGAAGAAATCTCCCCCCTCATGACTGAAGGTGGTACCACACAAACAGGCACTTTTAAATTAATTTTAACATTAATGCATTTTAAAAGGAAATACACTCCTCTAAGATTCCCCTTAGAAAGCACACCATGTTTCACATGTTCAGGTTTCACTGTCTTGGAGTTGTGGCATTGAGAGACACCCTGCTTTGTATTATAAATAGATTCAGAATTCTTATCTCTGCATCAGTGACACAGGTTGTATTAAAAGCAACCAAGGCTAGCTCAAAAAGGGAAAATAAAATCTCCTTGCTTTTATTTCAAAAACACACCTGTTAAGAGCATTGCACATCTCTATTGTGACCAAGACTGAAAGTGCCATTGTCATAGGATAGGGAGACTCAAAGACCACACAGTCAACACCTTCGAACTCTGGATTGTCTTCTTTACACTGCAGGAAATGGCTCTAGGAGAGATAATCAAAATACAAGTGAGTCTGCATAAACACAGCATAATATTACTCCCTCTGCTCTACTCCTCATGAAAATGTCTTGTGCGTGCATTATTTTAAAAGATTCAGCCACAAAGTTGCAAAGACCAAGACATCCATTTTCAAAGCACTCTAATCCATTGTTTCACTGTTTAAAAGGATTAGTTTGATATGTAGAAGATCTTGCTGCAGATAAATGCTGGTGGTCTTTTGGTAAGTCATTTGAGACTTCTGCGTTCCACTTAAAGCAGTATAGTTAGGCAGCAACATTAAAAAATTTAAGCGTAATTCTGATAATGTTAACCATGTTTCTAATTTTGAAATATTAAGAAGGAAATAATACCAGCTGGTAGTAGGTAATTCTCGGGCCACCATCAGCAGCAATAAACCACCAAGCAGCAGCACCCACTGTGGCAGCTCCAACATAGCCTTAAAGGGAAGGAAAAGGCATTTTAGTTCTCTCTGGGCTGAATAATAGGGCGTCTGTATTGCTCACCTCACCTGAACTTCCTCTTCTCTGGACAATAGGGCACTGTGCAATGCTTGCCCATTTCCTGAAATAACTATCCATGCTTGATCTTGATTGCCAAATCACCACAACTGGATTTTTTCCAACAATACACTTCTCATTTAAAAGAGATCTAGGGATGTGTGTGCGCCCCATGAATGGGGCAAAAGCTTTGTGACAGACACCTACACTTTACCCACTGAAAAGAATCAGCCTTAGTAGAAACACACTCAAACTCCGTCTTCACATAGTAATTTGATAAAACTTGTAACACAATCCAATACCAAGGGTATAAAATCTAGTCTTTTACATTCCTTCCCAACTAGATTAGCAATCACTAGGAGAGACTGAGAAAGCCAGTTTGAAGAAAAAGCTGCAACGAACGACATGAGGACATATTTCTGGCAGACTTAAGATAAACTTCCATTACTCTGCTGAATGACAATGCCATACAGCAGTGCTAACTGGACTTACTTTGTGTAAGACCCAGGAGCAGAAGGGAAAGGAACAGGGATAATCCGGGGAAGAGAGTAAAGAGTTATTCAGGGTTCCACAAAGCCAAAAGGAGCACTCACATCCAATTGCCAAGTAACGGAAGAAGAGCCACCCAGAGATCAAGGGCTCTTTGGGATTGCGAGGTGGTTTGTTCATGATATCCAGGTCAGGAGGGTTGAAGCCCAGAGCAGTGGCAGGGAGTCCATCTGTCACAAGGTTTACCCACAACAGCTGGACAGGGATTAAAGCTTCAGGGAAACCCAGAGCAGCAGTCAGGAAGATACTATGCACAAATGAAAAAGAAAAGGAACAGATGAGGCTAATCACATTCCTGCAGATTTTAATTTAACCCCTATTTTTTCATGCCATGAAATTAAACAAGCCACAGCTATTTTGAACCAAAAATGCAAATCAGCTGCAGCTTCTAACTCTTGATGCTGCTACATGATGACTGAGGCGGCCCCGCCAATGAGAAGACATGCCGCATTTGAGGGAGAGGGCAAATGCAGCTTGCTTGCTTGCTTGCTTGCTTGCTTGCTTGCTTGCTTGCTTGCTTGATTTATTTATTTATTTATTTGAAACTTTTCTATACTGTCCCATCACAAACGTCTCGGGAAGATTTACAGCAAATTAATACAACAGAATAAAAATAAGAGTAATAGGAGCACAGCATCAGGTGTTAAAAGAAAACCACTAAATAAAACAGGTGAACGATCGCAGACCTACCAAACGACCTCTCCAACATTGGAGGAGATGAGGTAGCGAATGAACTGTTTCATGTTATTGTAAATTGCACGGCCCTCTTCCACAGCAGCGACAATGGTTGAGAAGTTGTCATCTGCCAGCACCATTTCTGAAGCGGTCTTTGCTACTGCGGTGCCTGACCCCATAGCAATCCCAATTTCTGCTTTCTTCAAGGCAGGAGCATCATTTACACCATCACCTGTCTGAAACAAAGTTTGGGAAATGGGCACCAACATGATCCATCATGCAGAAGTACAGTGGAATTTCCTGGTGTAAGGGTGATGGAGTGTGTGGGGGTTGTTCAGTGGGTGGAAAGGGAATTCCGGGGCCATCCTAAATGTCAGGAAAAAGGCCTAGAATATGTGCACAGAACGCCAGACAGAGCTTCTAAGCTTCTTGCCTAAACAGCATGAAAAAAGCCTGGCCTGCATTCAAGCTTATTCCGCACCTTTCTGGACTGGAGGAAGAGAGAGCAAACTTCTTGTGATCTGACATTCCGTAAAGTGGATTTATCGAGACACCCACATCCAGCTAATTTCCACAGGGACCCACACATCCCCCACAACTAGGCTCCTCACTATACAAGCCGCTGCCTTCTCGACAGCACTCACCATCGCTGTGATTTCATCAAAAGACTGGAGAAATTCAACAATCTTAGATTTATGCGAAGGCTCCACACGTGCGAAGCAACGAGCATTTAGACAGGCATCCCTCTGGACGGCTGGGGAAAGCTCATCGAACTCACGGCCGGTAAAGGCTTTTGTGGCGACATCCTCCTCTTCCCCAAAAATGCCGATGCGACGACAGATGGCCACCGCGGTCCCCTTGTTGTCTCCAGTTATCATGATCACGCGAATGCCGGCTTGCCGGCATAATTTTATGGATGAAGCCACTTCGATTCGTGGGGGGTCCAGCATCCCCACACAACCCACAAAGGTCAAATTGGTCTAGAACAAGAAAAGCATCAGTTCAATTTATGTTTTTCAGGTTAAAAAAAAATTTGAAGCGCAAACTCACATATTCTCAAGTTACTGAACAGTACAAATGTGAGTATTGTGCCTTTACATCACTGCTTATACATTTGTTTAACATTTGATTTACAATCTAAATTTCTTCATCCTCAACATTTCATAGTCACTATTGTTTTCATTTTATAGGTCAGGAATGGATACTAAAAGGCCCTAGGTAACTTTATGAAGCCAAGGATTGTATGGAATTTAATCCCAGATCTCCAAGGGTATTAACATTTATATAGGATGTCTAATGATAAATGCACACTGTTCACAAGGACCTGGAATGGGGGCACAAAGCATTGCAAACCAATTTTGGCTGTATTTCCCCACCACCAAAGTAGCCCACTTGTGGCTGCCATCAAGGAACAGACCCGATTCAGGCACCTTCAGCGAGTTTTCATGCTTTAAAAAAGGGAAAGCTGACACTGAACCAACCTCATAATTAATGAAGTTAGCGGAATCCTCCAGTTTCATGTCTTCCCTTCTTGGTGGATTGTCATGTGTTGCGAGAGCCAGGCAACGTAGTGTATCCTTGCCTGTGCCCCACTCTCGGATGACACTCATGATCTTCTGCTTAATTCCTAGCGTCAATGGCACCTTAGTGTTTCCAACTCGGACGTGCGTACACCTGTCAATTACACCCTCAGGAGCGCCCTGTGGGAGCACAACAAGGAAAACAATTAGCTTGAACAAGCGAGAGCAGGCGTCTGCCTTTCTGTCGCAGAACCATTACGCATGCATGCATGCATGAATACAGCTTGCTCATGGCAGGAGCTGAAAAGTTACGCAGCCCAGATTTATTTTTTGCAACTGCCCTGCATTTTTGCTTTGGCACAGCTTCAAGAGCCATGCTGACTTGCAGCTAATCACAAATGCTCACTTCCATCAGAAATCACTCGCCTTAACAAACATCTTGGTCATGGCAGTCCGGCTAGGCTTGTTTGGAGTGCAATACACCGACATGGACTTCCTGTCCCTGGAGAATTCAAGAGTGAATTCTTTTTTCATGAGTTGCTTTATCACCTGCGGAAAGTGGATTGGCAGGGGTGGGGAAGGGGAGAGAAAACAGAATGGTATTGCAGGGAGGCTGCATGAAAGGAAAATCATTTCACCAGACCCTTTGTGGCAGTGCAGAAGTACTGACCGAGTTGCAAGCATTGGCCCGTTCGATTCTGGACAACCCTTTCAGATCTGTGTCGAACACATTCATCTTCTCAACCAGACAAGTGAGAGCAGTCTCTGTAGCTTCTCCAACCTTCTCATACACTCCTTTAGTCTTTAAAATAAAATTGTTATTAGTATAACCAACATCACAGTTTCCTTAATAACTACATTACCTCTGGTGTCTTCTTATAGCACAAAAATATTTAATTTTTAAAAAATCAGATTTACGAGGCAACCAGAATCTCAGCCCTTGTCCTTGAGTGGGAAACTAGCAAGAATTGAGTAGAGGCTCAGATGGAGCCTGAAGAAACTTGTTTATATTTGCATACATTCTACTGTCTTGTTTCTAGTAAACTTTGCTTGGCTAATCTTGGTTTATGTAGTACTTTGCCCACACAAAGCCATTTAATCCATCTTATCTCTTTTTAAGATGTATTTCAAGGAGGACTCATTTTCAAGGGCTCTTTGAAGATTACTTCCGGTTTTGTGCAGTGTGCATCCTCTTCCAGTCCTCCTCTCATCTCTCTTTTCATCCTTCCATGACTCTTTATGATGCTCTTCTGCTGTAACATGAGGCTCTTGGTAGTCTTCCACGTAGGAGACTGGTAAGAGCCACATCTGCCCAGTTTAACTTCTGGTAGTTTTCACTCTTTCCCTGGGTCCCTCACACATATTTTAAAACATTTACTTAGAGAACTCTGTCATGTAGAGCCCCTAACCTTTCTTGATGCTAAGAAACAGCAGATGCCCCAGTTCACAGCCAAGTAACCTGTGCAGGCACAGCCTGCTGGATTCAAGAAATGTGCTGAGTTCACCCAAGAGCAATAAAGGTTTAGGTTGCAGAGACCAGCACTATTTTTTTTTCTCATAATCAAGTAGCAGAACAGCATCTATACTTTCTGATATGGCCACCACAGTTCTTAGATTCCCATCTTGAGGAAGTCCACTTGGCACCTACAATGCTGGTGCGGAGATCCAAACTAAAAAACTGGTTAATGAGGCATATCTTGACCTATTTCATCTTGACACCTTCATGCTTGGTAATCTTGTGTTTAGGCTTTTAACTGTACATTTTAATTGTTTTAGTTTGTAAGCACTGTAAAGAAGCATGGATGCAACTGCTGGAAAATATGGGAAGGAAGAGAGAGCGAGAGATGCTGTTCTTTAAGAGATTTTATTTAATTACTTATAATTATAAATAATTAAATTATTTATAATTAGTATTTGCATGGCGTAAAGGACAGGATGTAGATCCTCTGACATTTGCATTGCAGCTTTAGCCTTTCCCTTTGTTAACAAACAGTAGAGACCAGAAGCAGCCATTTTGTCTATTCTGTGGTTCCCCTGAATTGGAGTTACTTACCTCATTGAAATCCAGGGAAGAATCATTGCAAAGGGCACAAATAGTTGCCAGTTCTATAAGGCCATCATATTGACAACATTTGACAAGTTTATCATCTTTATGCCTGTTGGGGGGAAGAATGCCAGAGAAAAACCAACAGTGAGGTTCCCAGTCCAGGCGGCTGTGCAGTACAGAGATTTACCGCTCAGATAATCAGATCCATCAAGCCCTTGCCTGCAACGATGCCTACTCTGAGTCCTAGAAAGCAGTCAACTGCCTGGCTTGGGATACGTACGACCCGTTAAAAAAGTTAAAGATGTGCAATCTTGTGCAGAATTAAATATTGAGGGGGAGATTCAGCAGAACCCACTGTTACAGGTAAGTTGGCTGGATTTTTACACCTCGGGTTACCTGTAACATTCTGATCTTCTCTGTCCTGGTTAAGGAGTTCTTCTTGCCCACCCAAACACACAAAGGATTTGTGGACTATAAAGAAAGTGAGCTTTGTCTTTGGAACGGTATGAATAATTTCACCTTTGTCCTCTGAAGTTTTGCAAAGGGGCAATCTAAGTTATGTACATAAAAGAATGAGCAAGGAACAAAACCGGCAGCAACAACTGCAGCACATCAAGAGTTGCTACCAGTGCCTTGCCCTAGAGAGGCAGGGATTTAATCAACTTGGGTTTCGCCATTGGGGAAGATGATCATCTCTGATGGGTCTCATGAAGTAGTTCACCTTATGTGCTCCTTTTCAAGAGCTCCATGTAAACAAAGCCATCGAACAGAAAATGAGAGCAGAAGTGAAGCTGACAACCGAAAAGCATCCCATTAACAATCTGTACCAGTCTTTGAAACTACAGTTTCAAAGATTTGAAAAGGTATCACAGAACACTTGCTACTTTTCTATGAACTGGCAAGATTCCTATAGAGTTGCCTAAAATAATAAAAACAAGTATTTCTCAATTTAAACTCTTTTTTCTAAGCAAGAAAGAAGCAAGGATAAGTTTTGCTGTTAAGATTATACGATACAGAATGGCAAATACTAATATCCTTGGTAAGTAAATTTTAGTCTTCTATTTTTAACATCTAATTCTCAACTGGGAGCAAAGGAGCCAATAATTTCAGAATTACGTGTGTTTATAAGCCTTGGATTTTATTTGGATCTGCCAGTACAAATATTCTCCCATCTGCTCTGCTGGAGGGGTCTTTTTCATTGGAACCTCATAGTCCTTGTGGTTCAGAGGATTTAGAGACAAACCCATTTCTTACTACATTGTAATTTCTATCAGAATATTATAACATTTCTATCAGAATATTGTAAAATTCTGCTTCTATTATCTAAGTTGGCTTACACAAATGATTTATCTATCTTATTGTTTAGACAATGTCATTCCTGCCCTTACTGAAAAGACTGCTAGGGCTTTTTCTGTTGCAATTAAGCCAGGAACCTAGTTAAAATGCTCTTGATTTGCCTGTAAATGATAAAGTATTGTTTACTGCTTTATATCTTCATCTCTACATTTTGTACATCTGGTATTCTCAGTTTGATTGTGGACCATAATCAGCTGATATAATTTGATTGGAAAAAGCACTACACTTGTGCACGCATAAGCATTTCCGTTTGTGAAAAGACTGCCACATACAAATATTTAGGCATCCAAACTGGCAGCATAACATGCAGCCTTTTGAGAAGCTAACAGCAGTTAGCGTCAACACAATGAAATATCTTAAAACTTAAAGGTCAAAGGAATGGAAAAAGAACAGTCATCAATTAAGATGGTGCTCCAAAGAAATATACTTTTCTCGGACAAAGAACCTCTCTGAAGGGTAGTCCTGGATACTATATGTTAAATAAGAGTTCACAGTAAAAAAGACATGTTTGGTCAGACTCATCATGTTCCCTGATGAGAAAGACAAAATAGCCATAACTTTTCTTAAATCTTGTGGAAAACTTTCAATATCCTCACACAAGATTAACTATCCCTAAACATTACCTTTAAGTTGGGAATCTAAAGATCAAGAAGCCACACCTCAGTCCCACTTTAGAGCATGTACTTCTACTATAGGCAGTCAAATTTTAGGCCTACATGCTGATGCTTTGTATATAGCCGGGCCCATAAATGGATCAGCTGGCAAACAGTTAGCAAGAATAAAGCTCTTACACTTCTCCCAAGGGAGCATATGTTGAGCCAGACACGGTAAATTCATTCAGAGAACAGCTATCCCCTTCCACTCGGTCCACAATAAACATCTGTAAGACAAACAAGTGTATAGTTAACCAACTGAAATAACTTAGAAATTGTAACTATCACAAGCAAAAGTAGCACAAGAAAGATTTTATATTAGCCTTAGAGGAATATACCAAGCTGTATCTTCTAGAGCAAACTCTATTTGGCCCTTGAGATTACTCAACCCTTGCTTCATTTCCTTCCCGCTGATTACCATCACACATAAGAACTGTTTTCAGGCTTTTCAGATATCATCCTGCTTATACTTGTACACTTCAGAACAATTAATCAAGACTGATACTTCAGCTCACTCCACAGAAATTAAGCTGATATACAATTTCCTCTTTGGTCCCGATTGGCCCATATTAAAAACCAGAAAGAATGTGCAGACAGCATAGTCCTGAAGAAGGACCCTACCTTCCTTTGAACTCTTGCCTGTTTGCTACGATTCTACATTATTCTGGAATTCAGCTTCACAAATCCCTATCAATGCAGAAGCAATATGCTAACAAATCAGTCTGTGCTTAAGTTCCTAGTCCATTCCAGAGAAGCACAGCTATCCTAACATCAGAGCACTCGTGTCCACTTCTAGAGGGTGGATGGTTGAAAGATATGAACACTGTGAGAGACACGGACATGCCTGTCTTGAAGAAAATGACTGATGCTTCTGAGTGAAGAGATTCCATTCTTGAACAGACAGATGTGGTGATATATTGTTTATCACTCATTTAGCATTACTAGAATACAGGGGGCTGCACAGCACATAAAGGGCTCTTAATAAAGACAGATATGACAAGTTTAGGAATGGAGAAGGGAATGAGGTAGCAGAGAAGCGAATGAGAGTCTGGGCAAAGTAAGCTTTTGCTGAAGAAACAGATCTTGACACACACACACAGTTCAAGACAGAGGTAGGAACTGCAAGAGGAAGAAGACTAGGCCCAGTCTGGGAATGGGAGTCCAATCACCAACACCCCTACTACACTGTGGGACACGCTGTTCAAAGGAACCCCCAAAACTCAAATTGCCCTCCTTTAAAGCATGCTCTGTACAAGTCTGGAGAATTTAAATCACATCAACTTGGACTGGTTACAATTTGGCAACAGCCCATAATGCAGAAAAAAGCTACCTCCTTGGATTACTTTGCAAAAGCTTCCTGAAGGGACAGTCTCTCCTTTTATACAGCTTTTACGTGCTAAGGCTTTCTTCCAATAAATTCCAAGCAACGATTTTCTGAATTACCTAATGGACCCCGGCACTAATAAAAGCAAAACAAAAGCCTCGGCCACAACAAACAGCATTAGAAAAACTTTTTATCTAGAACAATGCAGAGCCCACTACTGCACTGCAATAGAGTCTTTTCAAAAGAATAAAGACTTAGATGTTCCTAGTTGAGGAACATTTCTGCTTTTTGGCATCTGCCTCCTTAAGAGACAAACCGTTATGCAACATCCCTGCAAGCAGCCTTCCCTGGAATACAGATGAGCAGCTTGCTTTGTCTCCCACAAGCAGAAGCAGCACAGCAGCAAAATTCTGGGTAAGAATACCAAGCCTCACAAATAGGTAAACAACACATTAGAACAGAGGAACAGAACTTTGTAAGGAACAAGACTTTAACATAAAAAAACAAAATAACTGACTTCTCACTGCTTACTCTTTTGAAATGCTTCTCTGGCCCAGACATTCTGATTTTTTTTAAAGTTATGCAGTACAATCAGAAAGTCCACGGCCTATTTAGGTCTATCCAATAAGAAACCTTCAAAACTAAGAGTGCCTTGATTAGAACTCACTTTTCAGCACCTACTTTCTATTTCCTGCTTAGACTATCAAGCACAAGTGAGACATAATAGATAGAGAAAATGAAAAGTATGGCCTAAGAGCAGAACAATACCAAGATTAATCAGCATTCACAATGACTTTGACACAAATGTACGCGAGGGAAGATTACACACAGCTAGTTCCTCTGCACAGAATGAAAAATGAGCATCAGATCTAACTTTGGAAATCTAGGGAATGCTCTTATTTTCAATATAAGGTATTGCATCAGATTTTAAATTTGAGTCAGACAGACCTAATCCAAATTGAATCTGCTGGAAACACTGATATGATGCAGAGTATTAAATTTGTAGAGGTGGAATAACATAGAAAGGTAGAGATTGTCAGAAAGGTAGAGTCTGACCACCTGAAAAAGAAGAAGAGCATAGGTATGGACTTTGTGTCCCCGAACCTTCCCCCAAATTAAGTGTTTTAAAAGTGGAAGGTAAGTCAAAATATATCACAGTTATTTCTATCGGTCTTGTGACAAGAACAATTCCAAAACAATCATCTAGAGAAATACTTGTAAACTGGAAAAGGTTTCTCCCTCTGAACTTTCTCTCCATGTACTTTCTCCCCAGGTGTCAGAGTTCGGTCAGTGGGGAAGTAAAATCATTTAAAAGGTATTCCATTTTGCCAAGATGGGTTCAGGGATAGAAAAGAAATTCTAAGGATTAGGCATTAGTAAGCCCTAGCTCAAACCAAGCCCTGCAAGTTTGGCTCATTATGTACTGATGGCACTTAAGTTACCAAAACAGGCAACATTCACTTCTTGATTAAGTGCAAAATTAGTTTTCTACATGATATATGCTTGCAGCAACTGAACATGGATAAAAATAACAATTTGGAGGCAGGCTTTGACGGCAGAGATGAACAAACCGCCACAATGCTCAAATTCATAGTCTTTACATCAACCCCAATGAATTTCATAAATTTAAAACAGAGTAAGTGAGTGAACCATACCCTGCAAACTGACATCTGGTTTGTGGTCAGCGTGCCTGTCTTGTCCGAACAGATCACGGAAGTGCAGCCCAAGGTTTCCACGGACGGCAGGCTCCGCACAATGGCGTTCTTCTTGGCCATCCGGCGAGTGCCCAGAGCCAAGCAGGTGGTAATGACAGCGGGCAGGCCCTCTGGGATCGCAGCCACTGCAAGCGCAACCGCGATTTTGAAGTAGTAGATGGCACCCCGAATCCAAGAGCCACCGTGCACCGGATCATTGAAGTGACCAATATTGATTATCCACACAGCGATGCATATGAGTGAGATGACCTTAGACAGCTGCTCTCCAAACTCATCTAGTTTCTGCTGAAGTGGAGTCCTTTCCTGCTCTGTGGCCACCATTTCATCACGGATTTTGCCAATTTCCGTGTTCACCCCAGTTGCCACAACCACACCCATGGCTTTGCCCGCAGCAATGTTTGTGCCCTGAAAACCAAGAAGGTGAGACAGAAACTGAAGAACTGTATGATACATTGTAGGTATGATATAAAAAGTTACAGGTTATGCTTTCAGTTGCTACATTTTACTCATACATTTTATTGTAACTACAAGGTTTCTGGTCTTGTTTTGGATAATCTGAGCTAACTGCAATTCTGTATTTTATGCTGCCATTACTGCCTTTTGACAATGCACTATGGATTTCATTTTGAACTTTGAACAGACTTTTATTTAAACAAGTATTTGGTATATTATGTGTGTCCTACTCCAACATTTTAACAGTTCACTTTGGATTTAAACTTTTAGGGGAAAAACTTAAATAGAGAGCATTTCCAACATTAATCTGAATCTAGATCATCCTCTTTAACTTTGGCAGAGTTCATTACTATTCCCATTTAAGAAAAGAGAACCCAAGCAGGCATTTTTGCTCATGGCTCCCAACACCCAACCAGATTTTTAAAATGGGAACTGAAACATAACATCAAATTGTTATCAACAACAAAATGGCCACTTCAATGAAGACAAAGAAGTAATCATGACACAAGTGACAGACCAGAAGCAGCCAGTCAAGGTAAAAACCAATCTGCAGATTCCACAGACCTGAAGAGTCACCTGTTCAACCACCAACAAGGTCTTACTCCCCAAAGCAGAGGTTTTACCAACCTTCGGAAAAGAAAGACTGAGCTGGCCCAGCAGTCCTTGGGAAGGAAAGTGGAGGGTTTCCTGACAGAAGAAACCATGGGCTCTCACAGGTTGACTAAAGAGAAGTGTGGCTGCTCAGAGGGGAAGAAGTACCCCCGAAACATCGGAATGGTCTATCAACTGTCTTCTTCAAGAGAGCGTGCTGCATGCCCCCCTCCTAAGCCCAGGAAAGCATTTACCAGTCCTTGGATCGGCCTGGTCAAACTCGGAAGAACTAGCTATTATGGGCAAGTGCAGAACATACAAGAGAATGGCTCTCAAGCCTCATCAACTGAAGTTCAGCCAAATGATGCAGGAAACACACAATCTACTTTCATAATGAAGTGACTAGAGTAGATGGAAGGAAAATAGGGTTTCTTTCCAAGTCTCTCTGTCAGACACAGTTTAGCAGATAAAGAAACAGAAGCCAGTTTCTTAAAAGCAAGAAAAGAAGCCACCTGGACACGAAGCACACCAATTACAAAACATTGAACAGGAACCGGTAAATGAAAAAAAGGATCCCACTTCATAAGCAAGAGTGTTATGCAACCAAGCAGGTATCTTAAAAATCCTTCCCCACTCTAGCTAGAACAAAACCTTCATCTAGGGTTAGAAGCCCCATACCCCCACGCAACCTCAACTACATACTCCTGTTTTAATATTTTGCTACTTGTCATCTTCCTACATGCAATTTTAACCTTTGCTGATATGATCCAGCTGAACAGAAATTTATCAAGATTGAAGAAGCCACTGCTTTTATATGTTTTTCCAGCTTAAAGGCTCATTTATTTCATACAAGGTAGCCATTTAGATGCCCAATATAGTCTCAATACTTCCAACATGAGCGACCCTAAACAAAACAAGTACAAGCTAATTTTTAAAAACCCACTAGAAAGAAAGTCAGCACTGGAGAATAATTCCTTAATCATCAGTATGCACAAATAAAAATATTTCAAGATTTACTCACAGAAAAGAGCATATTCTTCTTATCTTGGTTCACTGCACGGGGATCAGGTACTGGATCTGTGTGCTTGATTACCGACACAGATTCACCTAGATGAAGATCACAGATTTATTACGACATTAAGCCCCTCAAAATCAACTTCCCACCACTTTGCAACTCCTGAAGAACACCTGCAAAAGCCATTGTATCAGAATATAATCTACAAAGCATTTCCATTCCATTGTAGTGGGCATCCTCCATGAACAAAAATAATCCAACTTTCAAAAAAGCACCTAATTTTGAGGATTGAATCTAATGTTTGTTTCAGCTGCTTCTCAAGTGACAGAACTGAAAAGAACAGAGATTTTAATTCAAAATCCCTATCTATTTTAGATACTTTGTGAATCATGGATATTTAAATAATTCAATTTGCTATAGGGATACACAACAAGTCATTCAGAAACAGAAGCATAGTTTTTACTCAATCAAGAGGGTTCCACTAAGTGTGAGAATATATGTTGTTTATTAATTGCTAATTAAACTTAGTGATTTCTTCCCAATTACAATAAAAAGATCAAGGCAACTAACTGTCAGAAGATAAATCAAGATGACCATGTATGTCTGCATTTTTGTGTTCCCAAGCACCCTTGGGATGCTCACATGAAACATGGGGAAAGGATACAAAGAGTTCACATATATTTGGAGTTTTCCCTCAGTAGTAGAGAGGCAGATAATCAGTTTTCGAGCCTGATGTTATGCACAGCTGATGGTTTATTATTGATTGAACAACAGAGAATGGCTTAAAATAGACTTCAAAGTTTAAACCATCTAGGTTTTGAAAAAAACCTGATCACGACAGGGGTATGCCACATACACTCCCAAAAGAGTTTCCACAAATCTGAAATCAGAGCCACATGGTTAGACCTATTGATCAGGAGAGGAAAGCAATGGATTGACATATCCCCTTGCCTTCTATTCATGTACTTCCTTCGGTTCTCTGGGCAAGAACAGAAGCTAATCAAACCTAATTTCTACAAAGCAAGTGAATTACTCTAATCTTTAAAGTGTCGAATAAAATGCCTAATTAGACACAATGCAATGGAATCTTCTAACATTTCCCTTTAAAAATAACATGTCTGGCAGACAGATGATCAAGGAAAAATATAGATGAAACCAAAAGAGTACGTAAAAAGTACTGGTCTAGTTTGCACAAAACACAGGTCCAGAGTTAACCAAGGGATTGCTAATAAATAGCAGCAAAGAGCTGCTTCCTACATGCCTGTCACTTCTGCTCTCATTTAACCACCCAAGAATGTCTTGTTACTGGGTAGCTACAATGATGACATCTGAACATGGAAACTCCGGATTATCCAGGAGTTATGCAACAAACCATGGGTTAAGTCTAGGTTGTCTAACCCCTAAACAATTCAGGGTTTCCAGGTTCCATCATGATTTATTTATGTGTTTTTTGCTTATATCCCATCTTTTTTCTGCAAGGAACCCAAGGTAGCTTACATAGTCCTCTTCCCAATTTTATCCTCACAACAACCCTACGAAGTAGGTTTCGACCTGTCACTGCCTCTCTGTCTAAAGCATCCAGTGAGTTTCACAACTCAATGATGGCTAGAACCCAGATCTCCCAAGGCCCAGCCCAACACTCCCATCACTACTCCACACTGGCGCTCAACAGTACATTCCTAGGTTAATTGAAAATGTACATGAGTGCACTAGAGACAGCATGCTCATTTGTTACTGCTCAGTCCCAACAAACCACAGTTTGAACAACCCATCAGTTGTTGTTATGTGCAAACTGGGCCACTGAATTGCCGTAGCCCTCCATGTTTTCAAGCAGGGGCCTTTCCCAACATATCAGGGAATCGTCGGGTCTGAATCTGGCATCTATTTGACCAAAACATGGGCCCTGTCCCTGAATTATGCTTCTTTCCTTGGATTTTGGAAATATGTTTAGTGGAATTAAGGAAGTCAAACTAACGTGCAAGGAAAGAGAGGGCATTTCCCCTCAACCCCACTGCCATTCTAATGCAAGGTTTCACTGTAAAAGGAAAGATATCTTTTTCTAACGATATTGGACATTAATTGACCAGAAAAAGGACAAACACTGCTAGTTTTCAATATGCTAAATATGAACTGATTCTCCAAGAATGAACCATTCCAGCTTCTAACCAAGTGAGATTGATTAGTATTGTATTAGTGAATGACCACTCCAACAGAGATTGCCGTTGTTCAGCACAACCATGCCTGATGGTTTTGTTGAACTCTGTGATGCTGTTGCAATCAGGATGCGGTTTCCAGTTTGCTCTGAAAGCTAACCAAGAAGAACAGCTTTTCCTCAAGTGAGTCCCAAAAACTGCTCACCTGTGAGAATCGACTGGTCTACTCGTAGAGTTGTGGATTTAATAGAAGTAATTCTTATGTCAGCAGGAACCTTGTCACCAACTGTGGATTAAAAGAGAGCACATGAGTTTAAGCATTAGTGAATGCAAATATTTTTCTATGTGTATATACTATTAGTTGTAGATTTATATAAAAGATTTCCCACTTTAAAAAAAGAACAAGCAAATCTGTTTTTTAGAGTGTATCACAACAGAAGTTTCATAGCCTTCTTTGTGTATCCACTGTCTTTTACTGAGAATCTGATTATGTTACTTTAACTTCACTGTACACACAGAATTTTCTATGAATTTTCCATGAGGCCACTGCGATGGAGCCAACGGCAAGGATCCAAAACCCCATGTGAAATAATTCCATATACCCAAGGGGCTTTAATTCCTCAAATACTGTCACGCATGCAAACGCACTCTTTCATGCCACATGGCAAAATACTCTTGAAGCTAAGGATGTTTCAAGAACATGGCATGCCAGTCTCATGTTTAGTGGAAAATAAATTAAAAGACCCCACTGGGACATCCAAACCTTTGAGCCTGCCTAACATAGCTCTCTGGAGTTGAACAGGCTGTTTGCAGGATCCAATTTCTCTGCATCTGTCTACATTTCATCCAGTAAGGGTCTCTGAAGTAACAGTAAGGGTTTCTGAAGTCTGAAATCTAAAGAAACGGCTTGCATGCAGCGCTTATTTTGTCAAATGCAACTATAACAGGGAATTAAGAGTATGCCAAACAAAGCCCAAGAACAGGTCACTGCTCATACTTGCATCACCAACTAATAAATTACTGATCTTGTCACAGAGAATGAACTTGTTATGCCATAGTCCCTCTAGTTTTACTGCAGGGATGCACAGAGTAAATGTTAATTCCTACAGGAACTGCTTATGCAACTTGCAGCAATAATGCATGCAAAGGAGAGAGAGAAAGCTGACTGAAGGTCTGCAACTTTATGTACAAGACTGTGCAAGTACAAATGTCAAACTGTTTGCTGCTTTAGAAGCCTTTTGGAACAGATTTGTGCCATTTCTCACAAGGTTAATTGCAGAATCTTTGTGGGAAACAAGCTACATTTATGCTAAACAATTCTGTTTGAAATAAAGAAGCCAGTAAGTCAATTATGTTTATTTTATTATTTACTATTTTTCCATAAGGCTGCCCCATAACATTGTTCCTCTCAGTCCCATTATTGCAAATGAAAACCAATGTAAACTCATTGTGCCCTTTAGCGCTGAAGAGAAAATAGTACAAGACAAACAATGACCAAGGCCAAAAATGGGCAAACTATTTGAATGTCATGAGGCAGTTTATATGTAGATACATGATAGCAGCTGTTTTTCTGCTATCACAATTCCACCACACAGCAGCCCGAGTCTCAGCACAATGCAGGAGAAAGCTCGTCAAGCTGTAAGGGCGTACACGGTTGCCGGGCTTTTCAACAGCTGAGCATCTCAAATGCACCACCACACTTGACAACGGCATATTAAAAGACTGGATCTCTCTACTGAGAATGTATATAGATCAATTTAGGCATGCCACTATAAACAGTTGTAGCAATTACTAGAAGAAACAACGGAAAGACCAGCCTAACCCATGACACAGGACAAGTGAACACCACAACATTTGCCCTGCAGTACATCTTTTAGAAGACACTGGAAGCAACACATTTGAAAGTTCTATTATTAACTCTTCAAGGAAAATTAACACAGTCGACCAAAGAACAAAGTTAATTTGCTCACCTCAGGTTCTGCTATCCAGTAACCTCCTAGCACAAGATGCATACATTTTCCTCAGTAATTGCTGCCAATTGTTTTAAGCAACCAGGATAACAACCCAAGCTGACATTTCATTGTCCTGAAGTCTGCTTAGCTATCCAAAGTTAAGAATTAAGTTTGGGCAGCACACAGAGACACAGAAACCATTCTAATGATGTAGTACTGTACAAGGTGTGACAGTGGGGGAAGCTGTTTCTTATTTCTAGAATATTTCTTCATTTACAAGATTTTAATCTCAATTTCCAGTTAGAAGGCATAGTTAAAAATATGCATCTTCCTAGGCTTGTCTTATCTCAATTCCACCCCCCACCCCACCCCCCAAGAACAAGGCATCTGCTTTTAAACTTGTGTATTGTACTTAGGTGAAAACCAGGTCTTGGAATGGCCAATATGGGAAGCTGCAGATAAAAGACAGCATTCCAACTCCTTATCTTAGCTTTGTGGGAGGACAAAGGAGAGGAAGCATGTGAAATTCCAGAAGCATCTGGGCTCATTTATGTTTAATATGACACATAAACATGGCCAATGTATCAATTAAAGTGGTATCTAGTTAGTGGAAGACATTCCTATGTCTGAAGGCATTACAGGTCTCACCACAAACTAAAATGCAACTTGTAATGTTGACTTTGTATGAATAACTAGATTACAGTATGGGCAGAAATAAAGAAATCGCTGTCAGCTAGTAATTTCTCCTCAGCAACATGGTATTTTTGCTACCTATTTTATAAATTCTGCAATCCAGTTTATTTCTTTTCCTGAACAAAGAAACTAATCATTAAAGGTCTCTAGAATCTGTGGGCTCCCAAATCTTTGACATGAGAACATCTTAACAGGAAGACTGGGTGAAAATATGTTAGGCCGAATAAACAATTCCGGGAAAAAGAAAATTATCCGAGCCTATAGATACTAATTTCCTGTCTAACCTGCCCCCTCAAAGACTCAGAGCATACGCATTAGCAACTTCCACACATAACCTGGCCAGACTCCAGCAAATTCCTTCTCAGACTTACTTCAGGACTATGACAGACAATCTGTTGAGGAGTAGTACATTAGCAAATGGGCTAAAAAGACAAACAAACAAACAAAGGAAGACAGCCTTTGGCCACCTATTTAAACCAACTTGGTTTTTGTCATAGTAATTTAACATCAGTGAACTCCCCACCCTTATTATAAACACTGTTACTTGTCTGTATTCTTCCAATAAAGATAATTATGACTGTCTGAATGCAGAGCGGTAAACCGATTAGTTGAAAATAATGAGGAAACTTTAATTATAGCAATAGCTAAATGCGTAGGCTTTTGCTCACCCAAGGAAGAACAATTCACAAAACAGCAGTAACAGTGCAGTCAATGTTGCTAGTAACAGAAAAGTCTTAGCTCAAGGGTCCAGAAGGGAAGTCCATTAGCACTCTCCTTCTGCTCTACAAGAGGAATTCCGCAAGCCTGTCAAGTGAAGCAGCAGCAATATCCAGAAGCTATCATTAGACTACTTCATGGATTCAGGCAACAAAATCTAGAGTAAATAGTGATATTTTAGCAGAGTCTGCACTGCTAAAATATAAAAGGTTTCTATAGTCTAATTTAAAAGTGTTTACCAAGGCAGAAAGAGGAATAAACAGCAAGTTATCTTGATGTTCAAGCATCTCTTTTTGTACATTTTGTTCCAATAATAAATCTCCTTTGAAACATCATTTCTATTAAGGAATAAGACAAGTATTTCATGAATTCAAACCATGAGAATAACATATGCTTCACATTCTCCAAGCCTTATAGTTTATAACTCGCAAGGGGGAAAAGAGTAAGATGAGAAAGAAATCAAATATAATAATGGTCTTCTAAATTCTCAAATAAATGTGTCCTAGATTGAACTCCAGTCTCCAGGCTATTTGAGGGATTTTACTGTGATGTGGAAAGAAGCTGAAATTAAGCCTGAGCATTAGAACTACCCTAGTAGGACTTTTCTCACAGGCAAAGCCTGGTTGCAAGTTACATTAAAAAGTGATAAATACTCAGTTTATGGCTATGGTTTACATATTTCTTACTCGCGGAATATACTGCTTTACAATGATATTCATGAATGTTAGAAGAATAATGTGACCCTGAAAGGAGACAGTGTTCATAAAAGGCCGGCTCTTTAACACTGAAACGATGATCAAGCACTGTTTCTAATGCTCCATCAGATGCTGTAAAGTAAAATGTGCTCAACAGACTCCGTGCTTGAGAGGCAACCCAAGGATTCTCCTAAAGGTACTGATGTGGAAAGAAATTCCTCTGCCATCAATGGCACTTCCTAGAAGAGGCCCTCCTCCAGGAACCCTCAGTGAAAGGCATTACGAGGCAAAATACCCAGAGGAAGGCTTTCTCTGTGCTGGCGCCCCACCTATGGAATGCGCTCCCCAGAGAGGCCCGCCTGGCGCCGTCGTTATTTGTTTTTCGGCACCAGGCTAAGACCTTTTTCTTTAAACAATATTTTAACAACTTTTAATATCATCTATAGGTTTTAATTTGCAGGCAGGGTGAATCTGGATTTTATTTGTACTATTCGTATTATGTTCATTTATTTTATGTAAGCCGTCCCGAGGCTATGCGATGAGACGGCATACAAAAATTCTAGATAGATAGATAGATAGATGGATGGCAAACGTATGCTAATATGACACCAGGCATGTACTTGGGTTGAAGAAAAGAAAAAACAGCTGAGGAATTCACTATATTGACCCAGGATAAGCAACCTGGTGCCCTCCAGATATTTTAGACAACAATGCCCATAACACATGACTATTGGGCATGTTGGCTTAGGCTGCTGGAGGTTCATGTCCGAAACATCAATGGTTGTCTACCTTGGTCTCTATGAATAGCAAAAACCGGCATTGTGCAAAACTGATGTGTACTGTAGGGGCTGGGTTAGTTAAGAGATCATGGTAATGAATAAGGAGTTTCTCCTTTGTGGCATTTCCTTCATATGAAGTTAAATACTTATTCAACGTAAATACCATTGTGTTCCAGTTTAAGAAAACTGATTGACCACACAGGCGTGCTATTTAGAGCAAGCTTAGTGTATAATGTGTACCAGATCACAACATGCTTATTCCAATAATGAAACAAACTGTACAGAACTCATAGATCAAGCTGAGTCTGCTCTAGTTTTATTCTGAGAAAGAATCCCATGTATGTCAATTATCTGTGCACTTGTAGAACGAATAGGTCTAATTCAGAACTAAAGAAAAAGCTAGTTTTGGTACAATTAATAATCCTAAAACAAATAACTGCAGAACAAAAAAATGTTCCTTATTCCACTATATTAGTTTTTCCTAATGAAAAACTGTACCACATCCGTAAGGACAGCTGAGGGAACCTGTGTTAGTTCTGTAGGTTACTAAGCTACATTAGCTTTATTCATGAATTACTAGGCAGGTTACTAAGCTACATTATTTTTGCTCTTCAAAGGAAGTTCTTGTTCAGAACTGATATACTGTAATAACTTACCTATCAAGGTAACATTGTATTATAATCTAGGGTTTAGATTTGTGAACTACCTAAACAGTCTTGGCTATTAAGCAGTATAGAAATGCAAGCATCAATAACGATTCCTAACTAAACGGACCCTTTCCTTAGAAAATGACACTTAGTATCTCAAATTCTACTTCAATGTGCCCTGTACAATCACCTCCACAACAATCAAACCCCTGCCAATAAGCTACATGGTGGATGGGTTCTCATCTCCAATCCAATCACCGCCTCTATTTGTTCACCATTTTATTTTTAAATTTCAGAACCTCAGAAATGCACAATTGGAGTCAGGAGGGTTTGTGCCCCAGAAAATTGTACCAATATATCTGCAATTTTTAAAATTATTTTTGTCAGAATTTCCCAAATGCACTGTTATGGTTCTCCAATATGTGTAGTCTTGCCTAATCAATTTTCTTGTATGCCTCAGCTGTCAATGGGAGCAGCAAAGTAGAACAGGTAACATGCATGAAAATTAACAAGACAAGTGCGTATCGACAAATTTGCAAGCAGGAACGTGAGGAGGACAAAAGGAAAACTAATAGTAAGAAGTGAGTCATTTGTACAATTTAGAAGTGCTGAAAATTGAGGGTGAGGGTAAAGGAGAAGGTGCATCAAAAGTGCACATCGTCTTTTGAATGTAATCCTCACTTTCACACCTTTTCAACACTTCCAAGTCTCCAACTGCTCCGGAAATGAGAAATATTAACTCGCCATGACTCCTTTTTGGACACTTGCTGTTATAGTTACTGTGATGCCCTGCCTGTTCTTTAAAAAATCCTAAGGTAAAAGTTGCATGAGATGGAGTGAATGAGATGCAACAGGGCGAGTACAGGTGTGCGCACAGCTTGTGCCCCAGCTGCTCCTGCTCAGCTGCCCTCCAAAGTTTTTTTTTCTTAATTATCAGAAATTTTTGCACAATTGTTGGCATATATTGCACAATATACGCACATGCACCTCTTGGCAAAGAACAGCATTTTTTGAATGGCAGTAACATACACTTCTATAAGCAAGCAACATACTATAATGTAGCCATTGCCAAGCTTTCATCTACCACACTCTTTACATATTCAGGGAGCCATATGCTCTTCTGTTCCTTCCTAACAAAATACAGCTAAGAATAGTGAAGAAAAATAAAGCTTTTTGTATTTCGAATCTAGTTTCCTTGTGAATGATGCCTAAAATAAGAGTGATTGTTTTAGGGGCCATGGCTATGCCCTGATGCCTCCTCTGCTAAAAAACACGCAGTTAAGTAACCACGAACATGACAGGAACCGGGGGCGAGGGGGCACAACTGCCACCTGGTTATTTGACGCCAGTCAACGGTAAGAATCACTTGCCTGCACATGCAACTGTCACTGGCAAGCGGCCTAAAATTCCATGCCCAGATATGCATCCCTGGACCAAGTGCTTTGTCGCTTCCCTACATGGTCCTCTCTTTGCAGGCACCGAGTCAATGGCCATCCAATACGCTTAGACTTATGACAGAGGTATGTACACAGTTTCTCTCACCTCCAGGTCTTGACACCAGCTATGGAACACAGTGTATGTACCCTGCGGCTCACCCTGCAATTTTCGTAGCTTATAGTCACTTACTCCCAGTGAATTTATTACATTTTAATAATATGGACTACACCGACTACTGGTATTAAACTGGAGGGTGTTCTCTAAAATTAATTTTGGCCTCCCCAAGGTTGCTCATGGCATTGTTGCTATTCTGGGAATAATTGGTTATCATGTCAACGGTTCAGGAATTACTGTATTTTGGTCAACATTGGTCTTGTTATTAGAAGGAACGGTAATCCGAACCAGAAGGTACAACAAACTATTTGCCAGCTTGAAACTTTCATAATCTCTCACTGCAAATTGAGATTTCCTGTCAATGATCCTAAAATTGGAATACAAGTACATGAGGTTTAATAGGGTACTAGTTATTTTTATCAGACAGTCCGAGGACCTCTATAGCCCTGTCCCTTCACCGGCCATGCACAAACGGACCTCGCGTGCTCACCGGCCTGTGTTTCTTCAGTTCTGATAAGCAAATGTATTACATACCCATCAAGTACACACAATTCTTCATCTACTCTGATCATTTAACCAACAAATTCTGTAACCAGCTACATCTGGCGAAGGTGGAGCACCAGGTTAAGGAAAGTCGAGCTAGTGCAGTTCTGCCCACGTGCTTCACAGCTGCACTTCAGGACTACATGACAAAGCTAAATCCTTTGTTTGTATCACTTCAGGTCAGTTCAGCTGTTCCTGCAGCAGCAAGTCTGAGCCTCCGAAAGCAATCAGTGTTAATACTCCCACAGCACTGGGGTTGGGAAGGAAAGTGAGCAGCAGTCTTAAGTATGAGGTTGGCAATACAAGTGCTCTAGATGTTAGCAGAATTTACCTGGGCAATTTGAGTATGACCACCTCAGTGGCACAAGCTTGCCATGAACACATGAACCAGGAATCTGAAGATTACATTTACACTGACAAATTAGTAGGAAAACTCCCATGTATTTTAATGGTTTCAGAGTGTACCCTATTCAGCATGGACGGTCTAGGTCTTAACAACAAGTTAATTCGTAAGAATTAATTATCCAGAGTAACTCAGCACACATATATCATGCAGTAAACAAAGCATCTCACCAGCTACTTCTACAATATCACCAGGGACAATGTCTCTTGCTTTTATCCTTTGTACACTTTTCCTGTCTTGCCGATATACTTTCCCCATTTCAGGCTCATATTCTTTAAGAGCTTCGATGGCATTTTCAGCATTTCTCTCCTGCAAGGGAAAAAAAAAATCTTAGAGGGCTCAGAAGCTCTAGCTTTTACTCCTGCAACTGGCAAAACCGTCAGCTTCCAATTTTTCCATTTATATCATTAAGCAAGCAATCTATGTTCATTCACTGACATAACCAGATGCATCATACTGCTGCAACAAGCTTAGAAAGCAGTCTGCAAAGCATCACTGTCAGAGGCGGCCTAGAAACCATTGCCTTGTGCTTTGGTTTGTTTCACATTCAAGGACATTTGCCACAATTTAGGTAAGATGAGGTCTGTTTTAAGGCAAAGGGTTCTTTTGGAGACGATTTCACATCAAGAATGCCCTTCCAAAAGGAGATTATTATCTTTTCGTTAGGCAGGCAGAGCCCACTTGCTTATTTTAGAACAAATAGTAGATGCAGAGCGTATTTCTTAGTGATTAAGTGACTAGACAATAAATTAAACAGTTAGCAGTTATTATGTGGCATTAAGCTCCTATCCCTCCCACAACGTTTAGCTTCTGTTTGGCTGGATATGTCCATAATTCCCACCAAGCTGCCAGAGAAGTTGCTGAAAAGAAATAATTGCCCCCAAGGTTTCTCACCCACAACAAAAGACATTACATGACATTCAAACCCATGACCCACTAACAAAGTACCTACTATTACCTGAAGACAGTGACCAGACTAGAAGAAAGGGCATTAATACCTCATCACTATTTTAGATGGACTATTTGTCTACAAGATCTGATTATATTAACAGTGGTTTACAGCCACAGCTATTCAATAAAAGCCTAGGGCCTTTCAGTTAATAAGACTGCCTTTTCCGAACAGGCTAATGCCAAAATCCTGCCAAAATATGACAGGTTGCCAGAAGATACAAAGGTGTTCAAGCAGCAAACAACTCCAGCTTTAATATCTACACTGAAACAGTTTCCTTATCTTGTTCTCCTTTAACATATGGCATAAAAGGCTAGTTTTTTGACATTCCTCTTACCTCCACAGGAATAATTCACAGAAGTTATAGCATTAAAGTTATTAAAGAAGTGAAACAGTCACCCATGAACTATAACATTTTCAGATGCATAATGGGATACTAGGGCTGTCCTTCATTTTTGTAAACCACCCAGAAATAAACAAATACAAGAAATGAAAATTAATCTAGTTGAATTATTGGATAATCACATACTCAAACTAAGTGCAGTGTATCAAAGGCCTTTTCATCTACTCTGGCAACAAAGGCATTCATCTTCAAGGGAGATATTATTTCCAGAAGCTATGTGGGGCAAAAGAAGTTATATTTGTGTCCTTTCGCAGTGCCTATTTAAAATCTTAACATGAGCATACTTGCAGTATTAAGCCACCCAGATGAACCAACTTTAAATAGATAAATTCCAAAATAACCTTTTCTGAATGACTATTTTTAACATTCTGTTCGTGAGGGCATGAGAGAGGACAGAATAAATTAAGAGTCCTGCACTATGGGGACATTCTGCTCAAATTTTCTGTCCCAGATTGAATTCAAACACTAAACTATTTGTAGCAGTTGCTATGCATCCAGCATAATGACCTTGTACATTTCAAACATATGCACAGGACTGGTTAAAATGCCATGCTTTGCTCTTCAGTAACTTGATAATCGACTTATGTTAATTTGTGCCCTCTCTTTTCCTCCTTTCAAGGACAGGTTTGCTCTGGCATCTGAATCAGGTAAAATATGGCCGCTGCCACTGCTTGCCCAATTTAAGCATTATGGCAACTATGGTAATCAAACACTTGAAACACCACCAATGCATAGGATCAGGGTGTCATCCAGAAAAGCTCAAGTAGGAAGGCACTCGTTACAAAAAGGAGTTTTTTCCCAAGCTTCCCGGTGGTACATCAAACTGCTGCATGCGAGTTGCCATGTAGACGCACCCAGCAGAACTGGCACACGTTAGACTTTTAAAAAGCAAAATGCAGTCAAGCAAATTTAATTGTCTGGCCTTTACTATAAAAAACTAGATTTCAACAAGGCAGCGGTAGACAAAAAAGGAAGGCTGCTATTTCAGGTAACATATGCCTGAACTCTCCTTCCGTGCACTGAACTAGCAGCATGTCTCTTTAGATACTTGCCTATTTCCACAATGAACAGCATCTATCAGAAAGCCGAAAGGCACTAACCAGAAACACCAAACTATTTTCGTAATTTCTCTGCTGACAGGACAGTTTATAAAATGAATAGGATAATTTCAATTCAAAGCTATTGGAAGGAATCATTTCAAATTACACCCTCCATGCAGTGACCGCAACTACTTTTCAAGCAGAAGCCAGTGTGACAAAAAAACAAAAAACAGTGAGAGCCATATTATAACTTACAGCCAAAAATAACAACCAATAATAGCACACAAAACTCACTGTGAACTTCAGCCCCCATCAGCCCCATCGCCAATGGGCCGGAACTCTGGGAATTCTATAGTCTAAAACATCTGGAGGGCACTACCGGCATAAGAAGCTAGGGTGGAAATTGCTTGTGGGGTGGGAAGGGGGCTTACTCTTCAAAACAAAATAACATCCCAAACTTACCATTGTCAACCATACTCAGCTTGCTATAATATATGGTAGAGGAGCACCTCTTTTAACCATTGGTTGGGCTCCAAAGCAACTCTTCTAGCTCCCTCCCTGCTGCAGCTCAGCTGTCTTGCTGTTCCCTTTTTTGCAGCCATGGAGGCCGGCGTGGAACCTTGCTGGGTGGGGCCAGGACGGTCCTTTCACACCTGACAAAGTGGGAAGGTGGCTGCTGACTGGAGCATACCAGAAGGCCAAGTACGGCACCTATTCCACGGTGCACTCTTTAAATTTAAAAATCCCCTCAAAGTGACCATGGCAGGACACACGGCCAATAAGAGTCCACCTCGCAAGTCACACACCCAACGAGGGCACTGGAGCTACGAGGGAAGGGTGGGTTCTCGCTGGCTGTGTGACTGGAGAGGAGGAATTTCATTGAGGTTGCTGTGCTCCTCTTGCTCCTCTGAGATAAAATATTTGAAGTTAAATTTGGCCACAAATGCTCAATTCAGCTTCCGCCTAGCCTGCTACTGCCACTGCTAGTGTGACCACGTCTTTGGTATTGTTTGGGGAGCATCCGAGAAAGCGAGGGGGTGGGGAAAGGTGCTGGAATGGCCACTAGCAGTTGTCAGCAGGGAATTTGGGAGCTGTCAATGGCTTGCAGGTATCACAGTGAAGAACACCACCTTGTAGCAATAATGTTTGAAGTTTTCCAAGATTCAGCATTACAAAAATAGTTGCTTACCTGCCACACACCCACAATTGCATTGGCTACTAATATGAGCAAGATTACAAATGGTTCTACAAAGGCTGTGATTGTTTCTTCTCCTTCTTCAAACCAGGCCAACACCTGCAAGAGGAGATTAGAGAATTACTCACAAATACATGGAAATGATTTGATACCATTTTTGTAATGGTCATTTTGGCTAGGCTTTACTCAATGGCAACTAAACATTCCCTAGGATTTTATTACACCTTGTTAAAGAGTACTCATTCACATAAGTCACACCACAGAAGCTGAGAGCAAATTCCATTTCACAGAAATAATCTTCACACCTGCTTCTTCTCTAAATTGGTAGGTGAAAATACATTCTAAGGCTCTCTGTCCTACTTTTTCAACGCATCTTTTGCTTTGCCTACGAGGACAATCCCAGAGCACTTTAATAAGCTACTTCCAAAATTTATCATGTGGCATATGTAAGAGATTGCAAGTACTAAATGAGATGCTTTGGGTCATGACCAAGATCTTCTTTATTAATGCCAATAAGCATCTGAACAATCGAAGTATAATCTACATAATAATCTATAATCACTTGATAGCCTGTATCAAACCCTGTAAAGATTAATGAGGGAAAAATGCTACTGCTATATTCAACATGTTGAGTAACAGGAAGCAGAAGGCAACCAACTTGAAGAATGTTGAAATCATCAGAGCTTGGAAGCCAGTCAATAGTAAACTGTGAAATAGATTCCTCTTCTAAGAAAAGTAGGAAGATAAGAGAAGCAAGAAAATGTCATTGGGCAGCTATCATACAGCTATATGGGCTAAAAGAGATCGTCAAGATCCCAATTCAAGAGATAAGTGACTTCTACAACTATATCACCATATGGAAAAGAATCACCAGTTTGACAATTAACCTTTGGAGTCGGCTTGTGCTCAATATATATATATATCATGGGTAAAATAATAATTCTCTCTTTTATTGCAGAATGTATATTGCAGTAATATGTACTAACTGCTGGAGTTATGAAATACAGTGAATATGTTTACATTTATATATGTTTACTTTCTTTATTTTGGAGTTTTAATTACAGGTACACCAAATATCCTGAAATTTGTAAACCAACTTTCTACCCAATATACAACACAGGCAAGAGAACTCTGATCAACAAAGAGCAAGAACAATGAATGTCAAAAACACAAATCAGAAATGACCTCAAGCCCATGAGAAGGGAATGAGGCCTGCTTCACATGAATTCTAATTTTCTCTAAGTGTTTTTACTCCTGTAGCTGCAAGAGCTAGAAACCTTTTCTGTACATGAAAACTAAGATTCTCAAGTTCTCCATTTTAGAACTTAAAGCCCTTGCTAAAATAATATAAAACACTGATTACTAAGCACATCTTGCATTCTACCAGTCTTACTAGAAACCTTAGAATTACCCCATTATTATCTTATATGCTTTGCTTTGTGGGATTTTTTAAACTGGATTGCTGCTTCTCTTTCCTACACTTACATGAATTATCTGGCCAGTTCCTGTTCCAGCTTACATGATAAAATACCATTCTACTGCAAAGAATCCTAAGACATGGAAATCCATCTTCTGCACAAGAGTTTTGCTTATTCTCATTTGCCGTTTGGAAGTAACTAGTTTATCAGGACATCATATTTCATATACCTTGCAGAAGAGGAGTTTGGAAATACCACTCCTGCTTAGAAAGGTCATTATGCCTTACACAAACATGCACCAAAAACATGTTGCATCAAGTCGTGCTTAATTCTCTAACCTAACATACAACTCACGCAGCCTTGACAGCTGATGCACCCGTTTTTATATTGTTTAGAAGTAAATTGGCAAGGAAGAGATTATTATCAGGGGCTGGATGATACATTGCTTGTGTATGAGAGAAAAAGTCAGACAGGCAGAGAGACTGAAGCAGACAGAGAAAAGAAATGGTAGCGCGTGTTGCCAGCATAAATGGGATGGGCAGCACTGCCATGATCAGAGAGGTAAGTATGGGGGCCCTACTATTTCAAAGCCTTGCAAAAGTCCACATAGATCTTGAAGTCTTTGGTATTAACGTTCATGTTTCTCGACACCAAGCAACGCAACAGATGTCATCATGCTGGTGTGTAACAGCTCAAGTTATGCAAGATTCTTAATACCCCTGAAGGATTCCCTAGTTACCATAAATCAGCAGTTGATATGACAAGCTTTTATCACCCACTTCAGATTGCAAAGGGCTCACATAACAGAAGGCTCTCCCTAGAAAAGAACCATTTAGTCAGACTAAAATCCTCTTCTCTATAAAGGGTTCACTATGTGTAGTTTTGTATATACAGTGTAGTGAACCCCAACCTGCAGTCTGAATCGGTATGGTCCAATCTCCAGTTTGTGAAAAGTACCCTGCATTGGAAAGGGCAAAGTGGAGGCACTGGGCTTGGCAAAGTTTCTGCTTGAACTTCCTATGTGCTGCTGGCTGTGTGAAAGAGGCAAAGCAAAACAGCAGGCGCTAGAAGGACTTGGTGGGGCCACATGTTGACCAAACAAATGGGGTGGGCCAGTTTCGAGCCAGAAACGAGCCAGTTTCTAATTATTACCCAAAACAAGGAAACGATGCCGTCACATACTTAACATATTCCACTGCAAAGGTCTAATTATCAAAGAGTTTCCTAGGTCACCAGTGACGATCTTTTTTGTTTTGTGGAAGGGGGATTTAGCAAGTTCTTGCCCCAAGCACCCAATAAGAGACAGATGATACTTTGTCTCAGAAGATGGAAACCCTCACAAAAAGTAGGCCTTACCACTTCTGAAATTACTCCCCTCTGCTGAGTTAAACAAAGGGGAATCATAGCCAGAGACCAAAGTCAGCCAATGTTTGTGTAGCCAAGCCAGAGCATTTAGGTGGAGGGGAAAACAAAAAGCAGAAAACCCTCTCTGCAGTACAGGTTTAGAAAAGACAGCTAGCAGCAAATGCCTTACCCCTCTGTCCTCCAATTACCCAATAGTAGTTGGCATATCATTGCTGACGGATTTTGTAATTAAATCTTTTCAAGCATGAAAATTCATGGGCACAACCTAGGCTACAGACTAGAATACTGTTTGAGATAATGTATCTATGGATGTGACATTAAAAAACAGGCTGCAATGAATTCTCCAACACTTGAAATAAATCTTGAATCGATTTTTTAAATACTATCTCCTTTCTAAGGGAAAAATTAGCAATTGTAAGTGTCTGTCCCTGCCCCATTTCACTGACTCCTTTTGAAGAATTCAAATTTTAGAGCTGAAAGAGCAGAAAGCTCCCATGCATATGTGCACACGAGCAGCAGATGCAGGATATGTAACAGCCTAAACTAGCCTTCTAGAAAGTAGCTATGATAGACAGTCCGTAGCTCACCGTCATCATGAACCGGCAAGCAAAAAATGGTTCTGTGATGCACTGTACAACCCTGTACTATGGCAATGCTCAAATGTGAATCAGAATCAATTCTTTACTCAGTCATTGACCAGCCAATAAAACACAAAATTACAATGAGTTAAATAAGGAAAATGTGTGTTCAATAATGCTTACTCAGGTAAGCCTGCAATCCTAGAAACACTTAAATTGAAGTAAGTCCTACTGAACTCAGCGGGGCTTACTTCCAAGTAGACATGTCTACCAACTGCACGGTAAATTAACCAGTAGTAAAGAAAGGCAATGTAACTAGCCATACTATTAAGCAGGCCTGAACATTCCATAAAAAGTGACATTACTGGTAATATTAATGGACCATTTATGTTTTTGAAACAAAACGTTCACCACCTATTGATCTATTAGATTGAGAATTGGGACCAGCTGACTATGAATGACATAGAAGTTCAAATTCTAGTTATGAAGTGAGTAAGAAATGTGTTCAACATATTTCTAATGTATTGGATTCACTATGCTGCCTACTGATAAATTAGTCATCTGCATTAAAATTTGCATATTTCGTACATTTTATAAAATTTAGAATGCTACTCCTTTTCTCATCTTCTCTAGCATACCATCTGGTCTTCTAGCAGCATACTGATTTTATTAAGTTAACCATATTTCTTTTAAAATTAAACAAATAAAGTATTTCATTGTACTTGCCTTGACAAATTATTCCATATTAATTATTTAGCCATAGGGGAATTGCTAACCATCAATTCAGATCATTTCCACTCTTTTCATGATTCACAATGAGCCAACTCTTCCTACCAACTGTTACAGAAAAATTAAGTTTGCTATTAGAGGAAAATGGTGGAGCCACATTAATTCAGGCTGCAACCATCTCACACATATCACCTCCTATTTATGCACAAAGGGCCCTTTGCTATAGCTCCAACTCACGCAGAAGGCAAGTAAAAGAGACCTTTGCAATTCAGTAACTTACTGAAGGATCTGACCAATGGGACACTTTATTTAAAAAAAAAAAACCTATGCCAAGTTATTACAGTTCTTCAGTACTTCCCATCGTGAGTTTTAAAAAGTCCAGGATTATATCAGCATACTTTACAACACACAGTAAATACACAAATACCTTTCCTGTGTTGTATAACTGAACAGCTATGTGAATTTCTTATTAGTGTTATGTCTGTCAACCCCCAAATTGTCAAATATTCTTCAGGACATTCTTGGTCGAAGTGCAAGATATAAAGTAAATAAAAGAATCATTCTACATCTAGGTGCCTTCTGAAGGCAAATCGGGGAGAAAATGTTCAAAAGTTACCAAGTAAGTTACCTTGTTGAGCAACCCCCTTAAACAAAGAACACAGCACGTTTAAATTTAAAAGTGCTTTCCACCATTTTAATCAAGATATTGACTTGAGTTCACACAACCCAGCAGCCAATGTGGGTAACTAGCCACTGCGTGGTGTTGTGTCGTCTGATCCCAAACTGCGTCCTGCAGAAGGCCTTGTTCATGGAGAAGCCACACTGACAAACCACGACTTGTTCTTGGGGTGGTTGGACCCATGGGGGGCTGCTGCGCCACGTGAACCCCATCATGGGTCCAGGGAAGCAGCAAAGCAGCCGCTCTCTCGCGCCACTGGCAGCTGCTCCGCCATGTTTCCAAACAGCGACCACCAGTGACTTGCTCTGCTCTGTGGCAACGTCACACCCT